CATTAAGGAGATTGGCCTGTAGTTCTCTTTTTGGGTTGGGTCTTTCCCTGGTTTTGGAATCAAAGTAACACTTGCTTCCAGGAATGAATGTGGAAGCCTTGCTTCCCTTTCAATTTCCTTGATGAGTTTAAAGAGTAATGGCGATAATTCTTCTTTAAATGTCTTGTAGAAATCAGCAATGAAGCCATCTGGACCTGGGCTTTTCTTTGTTGGTAAATTTTTTTTACATTTTCAATTTCACTCATTGTAATTGGGGTGCTTAGAATTTCTATATCTTCTTTGTTCAACTTTGGCAATTCATATGTATCTAGGAATCTGCCCATTTCTTCTGTATTTTCCATTTTATTAGAGTACAGGTTCTCGAAGTAGGTATTGATGATCCTTCAGATTTCTGCTGGGTCTGTTGTGACTTCACCTTTTTCATTCTTAATTGCATGGATTTGAGCCCTTCCTTTCTCTCTCTCTCTCTCTCTCTCTGTCTTTCTTTTTTTTTTGGTACTGGGGATCAAACTCAGGACCTTCTGGTTGCAAGGCAGGGCACAGAACCACTGAGCTAAATCCTCAGCCCTTTCTTTCCTTTTTTTTGATAAGGTTGGCTAAAGGTTTATCGATTTTATTTATTCTTTTGAAAAACCAACTCTTTGGTTCATTGATTTTTTTGTATCATTCTCTTAGTCTCTATTGCATTGATTCAGTAGAGTAGCTGGATACAAGGTCAACGCTCAAAAAAATAATAGCCTTCTTTTTTGTTTTTTTGCTACCAGGGATCAAACTCAGGACCTTACGCTTGCGAAGCAGGCGGCAGAACCACTGAGCTAAATCCCCAGCCCAAAAAGATAGGAAAAATTTATTGAGAGAAAGATAGATTCTATCTAAGAGAGACAGAAGGGGGACTGGAAAATGGGTTGCCCAACAATAGCTTTCTTATACACAAATAACAGACTCGCTGAGAGAGAAATTAGGGAAACAATTCCTTTTACAACAGCATCCAAAAAAGTGAAATATCTCAATCTAATAAAGGAAGCAAAAGACCTCTACATTGAAAACTGCAGCACTCTGAAAAAAGGGATAGAAGAGTATATAAGAAAATAGGACATCCCTTGTTTTTGGGTAAGAAGAACCAATATAGTGAAAATGGCCATACTTTCAAAACTACTATATAGATTTAATACAATACCAATTGAAATTCCAACAATATACTTCACAGAACTAGAGAAAACAATCCAAAAATTCATTTG